GCAATTTATGTTGAGACTTAGTATAAAATGAGCTGCATAAGCACGTAATTATGACATCTGCTTCTTTTCAGGTACCTCTTTGTAAATCAGTGACAAAGGAATAACAGGTTTAAATATGTGTTAACACTCTGATAGCATGTATAATTGCAATATGGCAATGTGTAATGAAGATTAAATTAGACTGCAGTGTACCTGACATATGCAAGAGCATAATTGAACTGCAATAATTATGGAATGAAAGAGACTATAAAGTACTAATATTTCAGTTCAGTAAGGCAAAAGCAGAGTAAAGGAGAACTATTATTGAAATGATGATGCAAACAAGTACATTGTTTTTATAAGGAAAAGTTATTTATGTTCGTAATTTTTGTCTTCAGTATACGTAACATATTCTTGGTGTTGAGTTCTCACAGACTCTCCTATTTTGATTCTTCTTGGATTTCAGGTATCTGTGCCTTTTATCTCTACAACAGCAGATAACACCCACCACATATAAATATAAGACTGCTGATGAGAGATTTTATGAGACTGAGAAACTGAATTTCACACATCTACTGTGGTAGAAAACAGTGATTCACTGAGGCTGTGGCCTCCAGTCAGGGGGCTGAGGAAGGGTTATGTGCTTTGTCCTATAGGAGAGACAACCTGAAACATATGGGAGATCAAACTGTAAGCCAGAGGGCATGGCAAATTATTAACTGCATTTTAACTGAAGTCATTGTCACAGAACTGCTAAAATATTTATTTTAGATGTGTATCATGCTATACTTCAAATCACTCGTGGAGGGCAATTAATTCTAAAGGTTAGTAAGAGAACATTAGGGTTTGTGTTAAGTGCTCTTATTTGAACAAAAATATGCAATATATTTGAATATGACTCTCATGATGTCTGCTGTGTTATACCACATTTACATTATAAGCTAAATTATACTATTATAATTTCAGCAAAAATATGTTTGCTATATGAACAAAAGAGATGTGTATATATAATAATGGGATATTATACAAATGAATTAATTGTTATATTAAGTCATTCTCATTGTCCAAATGACTGGTATCTTTCATAAAACAGAAAATCCTATTCATGCATATGACATCACTTAACATTTTAAGTATAATGTGTGATTCCTTTGTCATACCATTGTGTACATGTGTGCACATATGCTGTGCATACATGAGACTGCACTACATTTCTTCTAAGAAATGATTCTGTAGCTTCTCAGACTTTCTCCTGAGAGCAGCTTTTTTGAACTTTCATCTGACATCAGCTTTTCTCTTGTTGCTGCCAAGCTGGAAAACCACAGTTCCTCCACATACTTCACACAGATACGTTAAAAATAAATGTCAAGCTGCATAAAAGGATTCCCAGCAAAACCATCAGAACCTGAGCAACAAATAAAACAACAAGTGACCTTTCTAAAGAACCTGGTGGCTTTTTTCAGCTCACGTTGGAGCTGTCCTGTCAGTTCCCTCACACGGGAACTTCACCGAGCATCCCCTGGCCAGCAGCCACAGAGCCTCCTCTGGGCTGCACTGGGCCCTAAGAAAGCACACGGGCAAATCTGTTCAGAAATTCCTCAAGTATTTCTAGTTTTTTCCTATTAGCTACATGTGCATGCTGGTCTCCACGCAAGCACCCATCCTTCATTAATTAGCGAAGACAACTTAAGCACTTTTATCTACTTGATTTTGAGTAGCCAGGCATGCAGGTAAATAATATTTTAGTCTCGAGGATGAAATTGCAGAATGTAGTGGCTCTTTCTGTCGTGCTACTGTTCACATTTGCAAATTCTCATATCTCCTATCATGTTGACTCACTGTTAATTGTTATCACGGGTTTTAACTAACAAACTTTTTATGTAATGATGAATAAAAACCTTAATAGAAGTAGATGAAATTAGACTAGAAAACTTAAAAATTAATTTAAGGAAATGGTGGACTTTTTTCTGGTGTGCTTAGTCAAGAAACACAAATATTTAGATCTTAAATACCATTATTTTAGAATAGATAAACTAGTTTAAGATTAGAGGAGTTTTTACTAAGGTGGAACTTTTTACTGTTTAAAGCAGGATTTAAACATTTTCTATTAAAACTGGTAAAAGAGTAATATAAGGGAGAATGGATTTTACTTGTTATAATAATACTAACATACTTGTTATAATAATAATAATATTATAATATTAATATAATAATATAACTCCTGGGAAACAGAATTTTCAAATATTTTTTTTTTACTTATAAATTCTCTATGTAAACAAAACACACCAGAAATTTTATAAAGTCATTTTATATCAATATGAATATGGGATTTGTTTGAATTAAACAGTTATAATGAAGAAAATAAGAGCTGTAACTTGTGCTGAATTTTTGACAGTAGGCTAAATAATGCCATAATCTTTTTCTTATATGCTGGAACAAATAAAGAAAAACAAAACCTAAGCAATTGTCTAAAATGTTTTATGAATAACAGTTTCAAAAATTTTCTAAATTAGATTGAAAAAAGTGCCTGTTTACTGTTTATATACAAAATCTATTTAGTCATCAAATTTACAGGAATGATAAACCTTCAAACAGTTCTACTATCTAGAATTATTAACCTATAAAAATATATTAGTTATGTAATGTTAATGCCACGTGAATATTGAAAAGATTATTTGTTTTTAAAGTGAATTAACATTGCATAAATTTAAGATTTCTTTATTGAGGCTAAAGGTATTTTAGTTTCTTTTCTCCATGTAAATGCAAGCATTTTGTCCATGGTACACTTGCTAGTGCATTATTTCATTTTGATGCAAAATTTGCTGAATATTAGAGAGGATCTACACATTATTTCCTTTCTTCAGCCAGTTTAAGGCATCTTACTTTCAGGAGGTTTTCCTGATATTTAAGCTATGTTTTTCCTTTTTTTTCATTAATCTTCTAACTCCTAGTTATATTCCATGAACGTCATTAGATTATTCTTTTGTCTTATTTGTGCGTTTATATCTTGAAATATTTATAGACTGTTACCATGCCTCATATCCCCTACCTAGTCATTCTTTGGCCAGTCTGTTGCCTCTTTTAAATCTTTCCTCATAAATCTCTTTCCCTTGACTATACAACATTCCTTGCTTTTCCCTGCATTCCCTTCTTTTCTCCCAGTCTCTCTCACAGTGAGGTGAACTAAGATGGGTGCAGAGTTCCAGATGGGATTGTCTCCCAGCCATGATGACACTGAAGTATCTCACTGCCCCACCCTGGGTGTTCTGCATAGACAGTGTGAAATTGTGGTGGGAGTTTGGTGGTTGGGTTTTTTTTTGTTTTGTTGGGCTTTTTTTTAATTTGCATACTTCTCTTTACAAACTGATGTCTAATGTCTTAATAAGAAACAGCTTTAAGAATCTTTGTTATCATTTCTTAGGTTTCTCTCTTCAACTTGGATACATATTTATTTGCCTTGGATATATGAGCAAGTGAACACCAAACACACACACACTCATTGTGTGTCCATCTCCATTGTCTAACATGTTAAAATTCTCTCCCTTTTCCCTCATATTTGCTCATGGACACAGACCTAAGTTCTTGGGCCATCAGGAAGACATTAATGTTACTTCTACCCAGGATATCTTACCTCTTTTCTGAATACACAAATACATGGGGTGGTTTATGATTGAATCTTTAGGGTATAATTCTACAGATATATAGTTCATTGTCCTGCCCTTCTTCTATCCTTACAGGTTTGTTGCCCTTAAAGACAGTGATGTGGTTTGGGAAGCTGAGACAGACAAATTTTTTTTTTTTTTAATATGCTTGTATTTTATCCATTTCAGTTGCTAGAACAGACTCACTGTGCAGCCCCAGGAATATGAGCATGGTGTAAGAAAGCTTGGCCAAGGCAGGGGCAAGGTAGAACTTTAACATCTCTGATTAAATTGGTCTAAAACAGTAAGAAAACTGCTAACAGCAACAGGTCTCATCAGATATGCACTATTGCATTTGAAAAAGAATGATACTCTTGGTAAAGGGCCAGTTCAGTAATATATTTTTATGTTATATTTAAGTGTCTGTGTTAAAATCTCTTTTTATCCTTACCTTCAGTAGTCATATTGTATATTTATTGGATAAAATATGGTCAGTGTCATACACACAGTTTTTTCTCTTTGTTGTTTATGTTCATTAGTGCTTCATGCATTTGGTTTAACCAAGTGTCTTTTTTCCATTAGACAAACTTTAAAAGAATTTCCATATATATAGAAGTTTTAGTAAATGAAATCTGTAGATTGATGGATTTCCATGACTTAGAGTTGTAGCCAAATTCTTAATTATTGCAGCTGTAATAATATTGAAATACAAGACTTTTCAAAACAGCTTTATTAATTTTAATGCAGTGTTTAGAAAGTTCTGCTTTTTGTTGAGCAATAAGCCAAAAAAAGAGGCTTTTTCTTTTTATGGAGTCAAGTTTTGCCTTTTTTAGTTCATAAGTCAGCACGCTAATATTCAAAGTATTTAAAGATGTCATGATGACTCTGACTTGTTGTAGAAATAAATAAAGATGGAATCCATATGTTTTTCTTTTGATGGATTAAGGGCCATGTTTACAACAACATAAGTTTACACTGTTACTGCCCTCAAGTATTTTGCAGACCTTCATGGGTCAGCTCCTGCAGAGCCTCATTCTTACTCAAGAGTACAATTATAGTAACCATTTCCATGGTTAGGGAAATAGTCTGTTCTGAATAGAACATACAGCATGATGTTGATGTATTAAAAAAAAGAAATCAAAAAGCCAAACACTTTTTTATATTTTAGGACATTTTTTTAAAATAGCAATACCTCAGTCCTTGATGGCTGACTGTAGATTAGCATTCCTCAAATGTCATTAAAGTATATTGTATATATATTAATTTTATTTTGAGTTGAGATTGTTCTTGTGTCACAAATAATAGAGAGGCCTGCTTTTTTAAGGGATGTGTAGTCTTATAGCTGATATCCTTTCTTTTTCTGTTTTAGTGTCTTGAAATCTTCATTGCAGCATTATCAATGTGCAAAAGCCACAGAATGAAGCTGTAAGTAAATTATTGTCTGATTCAGAGACATAATTAGGAGTAATATCTTGACTGGCTTCATTGCCCTACTTTTGATTTTCTCTGGAATTAGCAACAGATTAATCTGGACAATTTTTTTACAGTGTTCATGATGTATTGAGATAAATGTTGAGCTCTTGCACATGTTTATGAGGTCAATTTTAACAATGTACATATTTATTTCTCTTGGTGTTGCAAACTGCAGTTTGAAGAGTTGTCATTCTTGGTGAGCAAACGGTACTGATGTTTATAGAATCCAGTCCATAACAGGCAAAAATATTTGGTATTGATCCCTGCCAACCCTCAGCTTGCATCTGGCCAAACTCACCCACCAGGAGCAGGAGCATTGCTTTACTCCATGGATGATGCCAAATTAGGTGGAGGAGGATCTTCCAGCACTTCATGGGGGTGTACAGGCAGGTTTGACAAACTGACACTGGCCCAGTTTCCCAGCCTCTGGAACAAAAATCTGCCCTGGCTGAGGCTCTGTGTCCTCTGTGTCTACAGAGCAGCACGGGGATGTTCTCACCCCACAGCTCCCTCCAGGCTGAACTGGGCAGAAAAGAGAGAGAGAAACACAAACTGGGGAGGACATTTCTGCTGCAGGCCCACCAGGAAGTCTTGGTGCAGGGAGGGTCATGACTGTCCTTGCAGTGTCACACCTCTCTGCGTTGTGCTCTTTGCATGTAAGAAATTGGAAGTGTGAAAGTAAGCAATAAGATTCTGGGTAGTATTGAGAGAAGTCAGCGGGCTTTGCATGCAAGTTTAAAAATTACTGTGGAAATATTGTGTCAAAGGATTATAACTGTGGAAGCAAATTCAGTAATGGAAGAGAGGTTTGCTTTCCTGCAGTGCATTAGGAGATTTTATTCTGAAGGTAAATAGAAAATAAATAAATGGTATTTCAAAAATGAGAATATTCTCTCAGCTTTAAGGAGAGGGTTGAAAGCCAGACTATCTTCTGAGATTGCTCTCTTAATTTATGCATTTGCAGGTACTAAATATTTGATGATCAGTCTATGGCTCTCCAAAAAGCCTTTCATGTTCTTAAGAGACAAGCCAAAAACTGATTGTGAGTCAGACACAGAGCCTATTTTCTTTGAATTTGTTGAGCACCATGTTTCTCCTTGGTGCATTATATGTTTTCTGTGGGGTTCTTTTAAAATTTTCTCCAGAAGGAACTAACACTTGAGTAAAAGTTAGTGTATTTAATTTTTTTTTAACCAATGCGTAGGTATTTACACATGAATTTAGTTTGAACTCATTTCAAACTATAATATTTTTCTTGTTAAATTTGTATTGATGGAATTGTCATATTTAAATATTTTGTTCAATATTTATTGGCATTATTTATTGTTTTCAAAAGTAATTTTCAATGACTTTTAATGTCATTGGCTACTGTAATCTTAAAACAGATCAAGGGACATTATTCCTTGCCTTGGAAAATTTGTTACATTTGCAAAAAGAATAGAGCTACTTAGGAATTATATTTCTTAGACACTAACATATTATGAAATGATTAGTATTTATCTAGAGAATCAGGAGTTGCCTGGGAATATTCAAATAAACTGTCTTCATCCTGTGTTCTGTAAAAAGGACTTCCAAAAAGCAGCTGCATTGTGGAATGTTCCCTGGACCTTTATCTACCAAATGTGTGGTCATTCATTTAACAGTCGTTACCTGGAGAAAATAGTGGGAATATTATTAATGGGTTTCAGCATTTTATTATCTGCATGGCAGGCTTGTTTCAGCATGAGAAAGCTGTCAATGGCCACACAATGTAGTGTTTGATGTGACACTGGGAAAGGTTGGCTGGCTCCCACATTACAGCCCTCGTTTCTGCTTCACACCAGGGCTCAGTTTTATGGTGTATTGAAAGAAGCCACTTGGGAAGCAGATTTTGTCTTTACAGCAGTGACTGATAATAACAGGTTGGAATATGGAAGGCAAAAACTCTTAATTACATTGTATGCAGACAGAAACACACACGAAAATGTAGTGGTTAAACACTCAGCTGTTAGGATTTGCCAAACCCCAGTTAACTACTGAGGATGAAAAAGATATTGGAACATTTAGGAAAATCCATCCATTGGTGACCTGCCTCCAACATTTAAAACTATCCTCTGTAGTGCTCATCTTGCCTTTCTTCAGAAGTGACACTTACTAAGGCAGCAGTAGTAGGTGGGACAACACTCAGATGAGAATATTGGTTCCTGAAAATTTCCCAAACCTGGTTCTTTTTAGTATTTCATCTACTTATAAGTATTTATTAATTTTTCCAAGATTGTTTTTCAGCATCTTGGGGAAGGGGATATGCACTTCTGCAAGGCATACTGGGAGCTCAGTTAAAAGAAACCTTGCATTTCAAAGTTAATTTATACTATACAGACTGCTAAGAAGAAATGTTGTAAGTTGCAATCTCAGCAGATTTTGAAAGAATGGACCCACAAGTGAGTCAGCTGAAGTAGACAATTAGTATATCAGGATGAGAATTAGATTTAATCCAGTGTTTGAATGTGTGAAAAGATCTGTAAGAGCAGATAAATAAGTATCTTACCAGCCTTTCTCTCTCTCTCTCTCTCTCTCTCTCTCTCTCTCTCGTTTTCATGTATCATGTAATCAAATAATTTGGAATTTTACAGATAAGTTTTTGAGAGTAAAACTGTGGCTTCAACATCTTGTGGATTAGGTGTACAATACAGAGTCTGAAGAATCAGATTTTCAGTCTGGATATTTCAGAGTCCTTAGTCTTTGGGATATTTAAATTATAATATCATGGTTTCATATCTATTTTTAAGACTCTCACATGGTCAAATTTTGAAGTTAATAGAATCTGTCCAAGAGTACCTGGAGAATGCTCTGGTGTCACCTGCATCAATGTATTGTATAAATTTAATATTTACCCAATCTCCTTGTTGTTTCTCATTGCCCCAGTTGTATATGATTTCTGAACATGGTTCACAGAACCTATTGCAAATAGCAGCTAATAACATAAGCTAAAATTTGATGCAATCAGAAACAGCTCCGATATTGTCAGCTCTGGATTTAAAATGCAATGTTTCTAATTCTATAATAGAGAAGAGACAATGAAAACAAGGAAAACAGAACAAATGGGTTTTCTTTATTGTGTTTTGTTTGATTGGTTGTTTTTTTGTTGGGTTTAGGGTTTTACTGTTGTTTCATTTTGAGTAGTTTTTTGTGTTTTGGGTTGAGGGGGTTTTTTGGTTTTTGGTTGGTTTTTTTGGGTTTTTTTGGGTTTTTTTATTGTGGTAGAAGGCAAAATTTGATATAAGTGACTTGGCAATAGAAGTCATGTAATATATCCACAACAGAAGATGTCATTTGTTCCAAGAGTAACTTGAAATCTAGGGAAATAGTTGTGCATGTAAGCACCTAATCTGGCAACACTAATAATTTAGGTTAGAGAGACTTTACCTTATAAAACTGTGGTTTTGTATGTCCTTGAACAGTCAGCCCAACTTCAGAGTGAGAGTTTATATCTCTCATGGTAAACTTGAGCTGTGCTGCAGGTGTTTTAGTTTATCACTGAAAGGAAATGACTTTTTTTACACCTAATTTAAACTGAAGCTATTCACAGTTTAAAATGTTCAGTAACAGTGACCTCTGTAATGACTAACACATTGCAGGTGGTCCGATAGCAGGCCAGTGGTTAATGTTTGCTATCGAGAGAGACAGAATTAAATGTCCACCCCACAGTTGTTTTCTTCCAGTTTATAGTATGGACACAACAGCTGGCTCAAAGAAAGCCACAATTAAAGGACATCTGAAAAGTTGCAATCAGTTTAGTTCCTGAAATGAGAGAGCTTTCCTGTTGGCATCTATTTAAAATTTCTCATTAAATTTGAAAGCAGAAATCCGGGTAAATAGTCTCAACCTAAATCTCTGTATTAGACTTCTGATAGTTGTGTTCCAGCCTTGCAGTCCCTGCTCAGTCCTTCAGGCTAAACTCCTGTTTGTTCTGCAGTTACATGTTTGGGATCAATAAGTATTTTGTCTTGGAGGATGTGAAGTGCTTTGTCAGACCCAAGAATTCTCAACCAAAGCTCTTTCACAAGTAACTAACTGAAGAGGCAGTTCAGATTTCCCAGCACAACATAAAAAGCAAAACTGGGGAGCATGAAGCCTTCATTTTAGCTATTTTCATTTTGACAAAAGATAAGTATCTTTGCTGTGTAGCTGGTGTGCAAATTTTTCAAATAAGGGTAGACCGGACTGCATCTAAACCAATCATAATCATTGTCACCTTAATTTAAAGTTCGATTTCTTTGCAATGCATATTGAATTCTGTTATTGCAGAAACAGCTGATACTGAAACCCATTAATACAATGAGATTAGAGGGCCTAACATAATTCTGGGAGCACAAAAGTACTTGGTAGAATTGGTGAGAAATTTAGGTCTTGTTAGAGGACAGTTTTCTATTGAGAAACAATTCTGCTGTGTCTGCTGTTTACCTTGGAGTTCCATGGGCTGTTACACACAGAAAGAACCTCTGAAAGTAAAAGCAAATCTGCTTCACAGGAGATAATAGCCTCCATATCTCAGAAATGGTTATTCAGGTTCAGCAGGAATTTAAAGCAGCCACCTTTTCTTATAATACAGGATAACTGACCACAACAATTGAGAAGACACAATATATTTTCTGAAGTTTTTATAAAAAGTATTTTTCAATTTTGTGTTACATACTACAAAAGCCTCTTATGAAATGGCCAGGATTAGGATTTATCAGCACTTTGTGAACTATTGCTTAAAGAAAAATAGTCATCTATTTTATAGTGTAATAAGGTGTAATATAATGTAATTTTATAATAGTAATAGGGTGCTAGGTGCTAGATAGGACTTGTTTCTCTGTTTTTAACTGTGCACAGATAGGAATCAAGGACACTTTGCAGTGTTACATGAAATACATCAGCTGACATTGCTTTTTGCTGAATGAATGAATGTAGACAAAAAACCCTTCAAA